CCCCAAAACCCCAAAACCCCAAAACCCCAAAACCCCAAAACCCCAAAACCCCAATTTTAAGTTAAAATTTTGAAAGTTGACAGAGATTTTACTTCAAAAAAGATTTCAAGTTGAGCTTTCAGCTCAACTTGCTGATTGCTTCTGTCGAAGCAAGCGTTCCGTAGAGAGACTCTGTCGATGAGAGACATTTCTTATAACGAATAAGTGCACCTTCTTTGGAAGGATAGCAGAAGTAAGGTATCTGCTCATTGTTTTCACCCAACCGATCAATTGTCATACGAGACCCGTTAAGAGTAGGAGTGGCCTTTATGAAGTCTGAGTAAGTATTTGAAGATCTCCTCGGTTTATTTACGTCTCTGATTTTGTCCTTTTTGTGTCCTGCCTTTTGGTATTCCCAAGAGAAATTCTTCAAGCAGAAATCCGTCTTTTAGGTTTGGTTCAGCCCTTAATTTTGTAAAATTAACATCACAGACATTTCTGGTACTGATATCTTCCTCTTTATCTTCTTGTCTGCCGTGAAAGAAGTCAAGATGCGCTTGATCCTGTAAGAAGTTAGAGTAATTCTGAAGGTGACTAATATCATCATCTTTCTTTTTATCTGTAGTGAAATCTTCCTCAGAAGTATCTAGAGGCTTAACCTCCATTTGAGTAGATTCAATGATCTGATCCAATGTATTCTCAAAATATTGCTGACATAGCTGGGGTCCAGGACGTGAGTCTGAGAACAAAATATCATTCCAGAAGAGATCTTTCCTCTCTGAATACTTTATAATTGATGCTTCTTTATCATCAATTGTCTTACAGATACTTTCAAAATTTTGAAGGCTTACTAAAGTGAGGGCCTTTTCCATGTTGAATTGATAGAATTTCAAAAGCTTTTCAATATATTTCTTCTGCTGTTTTAATGACTCCTGAGAGAGGGCTTCTATCTGTTCTACTTTTAATCAGTCAGGATTAAATAGTATATCTTGGTCTCCTCGAACCGTCCCATGCTTATCAAGGTATTTTTGTAGAGAGTCTTTGATAAATCATTCAAAGAGAGTTATTAAGTGAAATCTGATAGTAATTTTTGTTGCAGATTCACAATTTCGAAACATTTTTACGTTTTTAATTTTTAGTCCCTTACTTAGTACATCTTTTGACTATTTCTCAGTCATCAAATTTCTTATTACTTGTGATGAAAATAGGAATTTTTGAATGCTCTATTCACTTCAAAACACCAGAGGAAAACCCAATCTCATCAGGAAATGGATTATCCACATCTTGAAATACAATAGCAGTTCTTGAATTTCTCTCTTCCTCCTCAGAAGGCTGGAACAAAATTCTCGAACTTTGGGTTTTCTCCTTAATATACTTCACTAAATTCGCAGAATTCCTCTTCACTCCTAATCCATTCACAAAACTCACCTTAAACCCAAGATCCTCGCAACACGTCTTTATCACTTGCACTGCTGAATTTCCTGCTGCGACCTCCTCAGCTTGATTTTTACGAATTCCTTCACTTCCAAAGAACACAGCCGAATACTGCTTGTTTATCGTATGGATGTGCTGCACCTTCTTGGTCTTAAGCCTGGAAGAAGTCCTGATTGCCTGCGGTCCATCAGTGTTTCCAGCCAAGAAAGAAGCCCATTCGTCATCCTTGTTAGCAATTTCAGCCAGGTAGTCCTGAGTGTTAAGGGAGTGCAGGTAGTTGTACAGGTAGGACTTTAGCGAGTTTTTAGAGTTACAGATAAGGTCTTTGATACATCTTTCAGCGTATTTTTCTAAGAGTAATGCATTTTGGCTGGTTTTCACGGACTCGGTAGCTTTTCGCTCACGATCATAAGCACTTTTTAACCGTCCACTAAGCTGCCGATCTTCACAGTCTTCATTCTGCTTAGTTTCAGATAATTTAGAGAAGTCTACCTTCAAATCCTTATGTCGATCAAAGAATATTATTGCTATTCTGAGCAATTCTGAATGAACAAATTTCGAAATGGCCTCCTTTTTGTCTGAATCTAGGCCTCAACAGTAAATATCAGTCAACAAATTCTCCACGTTTTGAAATCAGGACTCAATGGAATCAGAAGTTATGTAATATTTAGGCAATTGGCGCAGCTTTTCTTCCCTATCTAGCTGTTCAAGTTCTTGCTCATGCAAGAGCATCTTGGATTGAAGGTCGTCAGTTGTTCGTCGAGGACATTTATCTGGCGGCCCAATGTAGAGAGCATTGAAGTTCCTCCCTTTAGGCTTTGTCTGTTTCCGCCTTTTTGGCTGAGCAAGAGAAGTGCCACTTGGGGGTTTCTCAAAGTGCGATTTAATCAACCCCTGTTGCTTATCAGACTCGAATAAAGGCCTCTTCTTCCTGCGCCTAGGAGGGTTTGACAGTTTTGACTGGGGCTTTAGATCAGGAGTGACTTTTGGAAGTTCCCTGTTTTGTGAAGGTTTGGAGTTCTTTGGCTTATAGAAATGAAGAAGAGTTCTGTTATTTTAACTCCTCATTTTTGAGATCTTTGCGCTTTCTTTTAGTCTTCTTTTGGCTGGAGGTTAGCATATCACAGACTTTTATTTGGCCCTTACTTTCAGGTAGGCTGGTTTTTAAATTCTTTCTTTTTGTAGCTTCTATTTAGAAATTTAGAATTAATTTTGTATTTTGATAATTTTGAAAAGAGGAACTTAATGAGATACTCACTTTCCATTCTAACCTTTTTCTTTAAATTTTTATTTTGTTTTCCTGATGTTTTTGACTTTTCGAGAGGTAATTCACCTTTTGATCGCGAAATATTCATTTAAAAATATGAATCACAAATAATTTTTTAATTATTTAAATTTTTTGGGGTTTTGGGGTTTTGGGGTTTTGGGGTTTTGGGG